CTCCGCCCCGCCAACACCGACGTTTATCGTTCTGCCCGGTACACAGCCCGTAATTTGTCACGTTTGAACAATAAAACCGTGTACACACTCGCGGCGGTTAAGTTCAAAGGATCACCGCGTAGATGATTTAGACACGAGCGCCGTTAAGGCCTTTCCCTGTAGGTGCGCGATTGTGTACACTGCGCGAGCTGCCGCGGCCGGCATCTGTTTGATCGTCGAGGATCGGGCTGACGAGGATGATCTCGATCTACCAGCTGACTGGCTCGTGCTGTGAGATTGACCTGAGGAATAGACTCTTACGTCATTGCGCGGGTGTATCTAGGTAACGTTAACTGTCGCGAATCTTCTTAGCCATAGGAGTCACGTGACTCGGGTACCAAGAGGAGGAGACGGAGGAAGAGGAATGAATGATCAAGACCAGAAGCGGGACTATGACGAATAAGTGATCGTGTATTATACGATAGGTGATGAGTCCTAACCTGTCAGGCGGTCCAGTGTCCCGCAGGGCGGCTGGGTTGAGCCTCGTCGATGCACTCGGTGGTGGTGTTGATGCGGAAGGCTCCTCTTCGTCTTCCTCGTCGGTGGCCTCGCCATCCTCCTCCTCTTTAGCGACGGGCGCGCAGCCCCTCTCGCTGGGACTGATGGGCCCGTCCTCGTCAGCGCAGTCGCCCTCTTCGCCCTGGAGCTCCGTACCTGGTCCTGAACCCTCCACACCGTCCTCCCCTGAAATACAAAGAAATAACATGGATGAGTTATGGGATCTAATTTTTGATTCGTAGCTCAGAGGGCAGCACCGTGTTTCCTTTTTCCGAGGACAGCACAGAACCTGATGCATCCTTGTCAGTGGGTTAATAAATACTCCGTGAACAGTCTAGGCTGTCTTGACTGTGCACACGAGGACTGTCACGTGGCACAATTTCAATGTTATTAACGTAATTCGCAGTTTGATCTCAGCTTCATTTCCTGAAGGGCCTCGCGGAGGAGCACAAACGCCCGGGTAATTAGCGGCCTGCGGCGGCTCTCGCTAATTACTCGCTAAGAGTGACGGTCGAATGCTGAGAGCGCGGAAGCTTGGCAAAGGGAGGGAAAGAGAGGGAAGTAGTAGCGAGGTACTCAGGGAGCTAGATAAAGAGAGAGGGAGAGAGAGCGAGGGAAGCTGACTCTGAGGTCCTCCGAAAGCACGAATCTCATTTCTTGGCTTCGTTCTTGGCTACTGGCTCTAATCTAATCTGGACTGAGAGAGATTGAAGCTGGAGTGGGTTAGATTGGGTATGAGAGACCGAGGTCAATTACAATGCGGGTCAGTTGTAACAACCTGTGGTACTGGGACGCGCTGTTACAATTGACCCGTGTTACGATCTGACCCCGCCCCTTCCGTACCGCAGATAAGACGTATCTTACGGCGATAAAGCCTCGGGACGAGGTGCGCTACTTACGAGAGCGTTGAACCGCGAAGGTTGAGGCTGCCGGGTGGATAGGGTAAAAGGTAAATGATAGGGGAGGTAGAGAAGGTCAAAGGTGAAGGAAGGGAATCGCTAAGACGACGGAAGACAGAAGCTGTCATGGAGCTGCTAAGTATATAGGAATGATATAAAGGTGCGGATGGGTACAATGTCGCTATCGGTTCATTTATCAGACCCCGGTCGAGATGGCGTTCCTCAAGGGATGCGCTCTGGGTAGCGGTATCGAGACAAGGATAACAAGATACAGAACGGATGAGAGGAAGGAGGACAAGGAACGGCGAAGAAGACGTCAACGAGGCGCCATTGTGCCACGGCGAGGTCTACCGTCATCAGCATTATGAGTTTTAATCAAATCATTTCCATTTCACGCGCAACGTCGCCGGGGCAATCGAACTCGTGCCATTTACGGGAACGTCGCGACGTCTTTCACCCACTTCGACGCCGGAAGCTGAAAGATCTGAAACAACGTCTTGGTATTCTTCAATTTTCTCTCGAAGACCAAGACAAATATTATCTCAATGCTAGAAGCTGCCCGATGGACCTAGGTCATCCTGATCTTGCTCGGTCGCGTACCGGGTCCACGAGATCGAATGGATAGCGCAACGGCAGAGTGGTACCAGCCTGAAGTGATAAATGGTAAAAGTTCGAGAAACGGACCAAGAGACAGGTGCGCCAAGTGAATACAAAGCGAAGGTAACAAAGGTAGGGAAAGGTTTGGTACCCGGACGCAAGAGGTGAGTACGATACCAAATGCCGGATTCCGCCATCTTCCTCCTGGTGCGTCCTCCTCAAGAAGGGAGTGTCGTCCTGAGCGTTCACCCAGGTCGGGTGGGGACAAGGCACCGTCCTACCTTGCCAACTGACCAACCAAAGATCGTTTGTTCGCGGCGAAGCCGAAGGAGGAGAAAGGAGATCGCACATTGATCCGTAGGAGCATCGGCAACTAATTACGCAGATTTATGTCCCCATTGTCCATTGTCTCCTGGCGGGAGCGAGAGCGTCCGGACGCCGTAGCGTACCAGCGCCCCGACGTCCACCACTCCAGAGAGAGCCTGGTCCCATCGAGGGAACACAGAAGGAACGAGCTGAGCGCAGAAGGTGGAACGGTACCAGCCGCTGGAACGGGTTAGCTGGTGGAACGGGTGGTGACCGGGACCAGGACGAACCAGGATCGAATGGATCGGAGGAACACAACAGCACCAGGGCGGACCACCGGCAGACAGCCCCGCCCGTATCTTCCTCAAGGTAGTCCCATCCTGTCCTCCATATTCTTTGACTCCTCGATAGCTCGCGACAATCAGCGTCCTCCTCCTGGTGTTACGCCTCCAGGTTGCTACCGACCAACTTTTTCTCAACCAACAACACGGTAGCGTCCTGGGACAAAGAGGGGCTAGACCGAATCGTACCGATGACGACTACCGGGAGTCCACCCATCTGACGAGGCTTTCACGGGGTACCCCAAAGAGGATGCAAATAAATAGGGATCCTTGCTGAATCTTGGTACCTGTATAAAGAAGAAGGTACGAGATCAGCTACCAAGTCGTGGGTCCCCATCGGCAGCCACTAACAAGGCAAACTGCCCACCGCGCCAAGATATACCGGGAACAAGGAACGTAGCGTACCGGACTCCCTGAGTCCTGACACTCGAAGAGATGCTGCGCTGCGATATCCGCTCCGACCTGTCTTCGGCTCACTCGCCGTTGGTCCCGGTACACGATATATTAGTAGGTAGGTTAGGTGTATATATACAGAAAGGTAGCCAAGATACCTACCGACCGACCTCTCTTCGCCTGGCCGCCCTTCTTCCCTCCCTATTCCGGCTCATCCCGGCTCATTCCGGCCCACCTTACTTACCCACCGCACAACAATAATTAGTCTTATCGGTACCTCCAACCTCTTTTTCTAACGTGTAACGATCCTCCGCATCCTTTATTTTTTCCTCTTTCTCTTTTTTTCTACTCTTTCATGTTGCTACCACACAACCACCACGACGCCGTGACGCTACTGGGTAGACGCCGCACGATACCGGTACCGGGTACCATCCTCTTGGTACCAGTTCATCCAGTTCATACGACTGGCTAGCAACCGAGCAGCCTATCTACATGCATGCACTTATCATTGACTATCTTTCGCATTTACCAAGCAAAGCGACAGAAGCAATGCTTAAGCTTTATTCTCAATGCGCAGCCCACAAATCTTTATATGCACGTATAAGCACTGCTGAAGGCCCGCATCTCTCCTATCTCCTGCATCCTGTTTAATTATCCCTTTCTTCTTTACTTTGCACACTTCTAGCAGCTCGGCGCTCTCTTTCCTCTCCTGCCTCCTGTCTCGCTCGATCGTTCTTTTAAATCCTTTTATCTCACTCCCTTTCAGCGGCACGTTATATAGGGTGTCCCGGTTGGTGACACCGGTGGATAGAAAAAGTTGACGATAGGCCAGGTGTACCAGCCTTACCTAACGAGAGCAACAGATAATGGCTAAATGAACTGAACTAAACAAATGAAGTCGCGACCGTGTGTTGCTGCGAATATAAGAGCAAAGTATATATAGTCCACATATGCATACGTGTACCTGGCTGTTCTTACAGGGAATGCGAATTGACAGAGATTCGTAATGGCTGATGTTGAGGACACGAGGGGGGTTGGAGTTATTCCGGCAATAAAAAGGTGCATAATAACATGTCGGCAGGGCGAAACACGTGGCGGGTATAGAGGTGGAGTGGACTTGAGACGAGATGAATTTCTGACGCGAGTCTGTCCAGAGAACGGAGTACGAAGGAACCTGTGGGAGGCTGCGAGGAGCAAGAGTGACAGGAGCCAGACAAGGAGATGGACCAACGGACAGAAGGATGGAAAGATGGACGGGTAAACCAGAGAACGGATGGACTTGACAGACAGACAGGCACATGAACGGACGAACGGTGAGGAAGGGGGAGGGGGGAGGGTTCGCATTGTGATTCTCTCCTAGTCTGCCAGTGACTGACTGACAGCTGAATCCATTTTACTGAGTTCATCTTGGAGGGATTATACAACCCAGCTTCAAACTGGTCAGATCATCTGGACCACTCGCTAGCAATAAGAATTATGCCTAATTCTACAATTTTATGAATCCCGAGTGACAAAATTGAGATCGATGGCTAATCGTCATCCAGAAGGTCCAGGAGGAATTGATACGTAAGAAAAATTGGACAGGTTCAGTGATCCTCCCCCCCCCCCC